TGTCAATTTGCGACATTTATATGCTTCACCTGCGAGTGACTTCATCTTTTTTTCTCTTGCCTTCTCGGCCCCACCTTTTTCTTTTCGTTTTCTTTGATTTTTAACCATGTTTTTTCATTCTCCCTGTCTGCGGTGGCGTCTAATCCCTTCTCTTCATGTGGCCGGTCTTTTTTCTTCTTCGTGTGTGATTATTTGACATAAAAACCACACAACTGCATTAGCGGCCGCTGTCGCCCTCTGTCGGCTGTCAGCGCAATTTAAATGATGACGTTAAACCTTTTTTTTTTTAAAGTGCCGGCCGTCAACGGCGCTTGACGACCGGCCGTTCTGTGGTTCTCCAGATTCTACAGATGGCCAGTCCGCCCCTGCTGTTAGCTATAACGCCCTCCTTCTAATTAATATAAGTTCATATGATAAGGATCATTACCCAGTCAACCCTTTCAGAGTGATCATGACAGGAACAATGTGACCTTCTCTGACACACACACACACACACCCACACACACACACACACACACACACACACACACACACACACACACACACACACACACACACACACACACACACACACACACACACACACACACACACACACACACACACACACACACACACACACACACACCAACTGACTTCACTGATTTGCACAGCTTGAGCCTGACATGGGGGACTTAATCAGTGAATTCAGCTAGTGTGATGTTCGGTTAGAATGAAAATTTGCACACTCTTGGCTTTAAATAGCAACCTGATGAGGACCATTGAGTTAAGACTGTCCGTTATTAATTAGACCCTCCAGAAAAACGCGATTCTGCAATCGCAGAATTTACCGCATAATCAGCAAAATGGCGCAGATTTTTAAAAGGCCGCATATTTATCAAAAGGCCGCATAATCCCCGCATTTTTCCACACAAAGTTGAGGGGGAAAAAAAGTTAACTCGTCTTGACCTGAAGTGATGATGATGACGACGCCACGTCATCAGCTCGCAAACCACAGAAGGTAAACAACACCGTAGAGTGAACGTGTGGAGCTAGGGTTGCCAACTTCCAGAAATGGAAAAACGGGACACATGCATGTCTTCGCGCGAAGATTTTCGGGTTTCTGGCGGATTTAGTTACTTTTTTTTGTTACTTTATTTCGGTTTAGTTTAGGGTTAGGTTAGGGTTATGTTATTTAATTATTTTGGGGGAGCCAGCCCCTAGGGTTCGAAAATGTTTTTGGGGGTCAAACCCCCCAAAAACAGACACAAGTCTTTTCTTTTTAGAAGGGCCAGGGCCCAGAACCACATCCTCTCTCTCTTCTCCTCTTTCATTATCACCTCCACCGGCAGCGCTCATTTTCCCGCACAACTGAACAGGCTGACATGCCACACACAAACAATGATGCTGCGCCCGCGAAAATCTAACACACACACACGTTCGAGCATTGTGCCTGCCCTGTCAACTGAGCGGTCCTAGCGCCCTTCGCATACAGCACACAGGCACGCAGCCAGACACACTGCATTGCGCGCAAACAGAAACATATTTTTTATTTTTCCCTTTACCGGGAATCCGGGACAAACAATGTCCCGTACGGGACACGCCCCTTTTGGCTCAAATACGGGACGTCCCGGCTAATACGGGACGGTTGGCAACCCTATGTGGAGCTCACACGAGAGAGAAAACACCAAGATGAAAAAATCTAATCCATCTCATTTATCGACCAACATTTCTGCTAAAGACCGGGCAAAGCAGTACCCCGATGTCTTGCTCGAAAGTGGGGGGAAACTATTCTGCACCCCGTGCAACTGTGTGTTGGAGCATAAGAGAACATCGATGGTGACGACCCACTTTGATTCATTCAAAGATTTGAAAATGCTTTCTGCTGCTGCGGACAAGAAAGCCAAACAACTCACGTTCACCGAGACATCAACCTCCAAAACCTTTTCGAGGGTTACAAGAAACGAGGTGAGAAGCCTACAAGATTGAAGCTGGTCAGATAACGAACGAGTAAATGAAAACAGAATGAGGCGGAGAAGTGTGTGTGATTAAAATAGCCCAATTTATTTTAACGTTAGTGGCAGGTTGTGTGTGAGAGAGAATAAATAAATAAGACAGCCCAATATTTATTTTTTCCGCATATTTCGCAACTTCCCGCAATTTCACCGCATAAAATCACATAAAACCCCGCATGTTTGATCGCATAATCAAGGATTTTTGCCCGCGTTTTTCTGGAGGGTCTAATTAATCCTGATCCTCAAGATACAAAACTACTACGACATCTGGTTTTCCAGACATTCATTTAACACCCGAATGACTTCCATGAAAACAGGCAGTGTGATGGTGACCACAACTGAGGACCATTGTGCCATGTGTTCTCCTCCTCTTTTACTGGAGGTGGCAGAAGAAGCAAGAGGTCCTCTGTGGCTGCCTTTTGAACTCAAGTTCTTCTTGATGTAGCTGTGAGGTGAGAAACGTGTTAAAGCACATCAAACTATGCATTTCCAACTGAATCATGTCAGAAAATAAACACCTTAAACCAACAGACAGTCTCTAACACTTTTCACAGAACCTGCAAAGATGACCCATATATGGACTAGCTTTCATGCTCAGCAATGTCGAGAACTTGCAGTTCTTTCCCCCCCTGACATATACCACTTTACAATGTATGATAGAGCAACAATTTAGCAATAATACATAAGTAAAGTTTCATTTCCATTTCACTTATACTTATATACTTATACTTACTAAAAAGTCTGAATTCAATATTCAACATAACATGGATTAAAGTGACTACAGTAAAAAGTTGCTGAACATGGAGTACAGCCCTCAAGACAACACTCATTGTGTCATCTATCTGAACAATTGTTATTAATGTCTTGATCTAAAAACGAATCGATAGTTGCAAGGAATAACATAAAGGAGTATTGATACATTTACAGAGCAGATGAAGATGCAACTGGCTTAATAAACACTCATTTCACATAATTATATAAACCTGTCAAGTTTTATGTATCAACACAGTTATTAGGATTTAAATGCCGCTAAAAACTGTTTAGACTACAGCATTGGTGAATTAATGTGCATGCGTGGGAAAGAACAAAGACTAATTGGACATGACAACAGCAGATCTTGTATTTTTCTATCTGTGACCAATGGAGAAGACAGGATGAGCCTTTATGTATTCTGGTCATCCAAATGTTGCACTATTCATTCAAAACACTCACCAATAATTGATATATAAAGATGCAATTTCTGCCAGTGTGGGGAAATTGTGAATCTTTAGGGCCAGTATCAACTCCGTAGGGTGTATGATGACTATACTGTGTCTATCTCTTCCAACCACCACTCTGAAATGTAATTTCTCCCTTTATGGGGTCTTTAATATTCATGCATTATCACAGTCAGCGTTTCAAAGCAGTCATCCCCGCAAGACAATGCCACCAGAGACTTCTAACAGCAGGGAGTCTTGGTGAGTCAACCACTACAACAGGCTGATGGCTCGTTAGAAAGAGGGGCTATACTCTACCAGAGGACATTATAGAGACTGGGGTGGTAATGGCATGTCTTCTAATAGTTATGCTGATCAAATCCACGCAGTTAAAAAGCTGGCTTCTCTGTGGACCAAATCCAATTATGGCAACACACTAGTGAAAACTGAATGATTGATGAACTGAAAGAAAACTGACATGTCGTTCTTAACATCTGCAGCAGTCAGTACACAGGAGATATTATAGAAAGCTACACTACTAATGTGTTTTAAAATGTAGTAATTGCAGCCACAATGGCAGTGAAACCGCTACAGATAAATCTTTACAGATGTGTAATTGATTATGATTACGTTTATGGTTTTGTATAACTCAAAGGCTCTTGACATCAGACAGTAAAACACCATGTCAGAGTTCAGACAAACCAATTAGCATCCAGCTGAGATCTGTACACATGTCCTCAGGCTCTGATATTAAATCCACTCAGGCATGGACTTTTTCTTCACAGTTCAGAAAATAAAATATGTCTGTTGACTCGTTTTATCAAAATAATCTATGATCTGTAAAATCATCTACAAAGTAAAACATTTAAACAGCAGATGCAGAGACAGCAGAAGTTGTTTGTTGTCAACCCTTTAGAGCAAAACAGCCAAACTTGTACTTGTATTTGTTTCTAAATACATCTCTAACTGAAGCTAGCAAGCCTCAGGGAGCTAAATTGCCAAAGCTAATGAGGGAGAATGGAGGAAGTCAAATGTCCGGCGATGCTTTGATCAGAACTCCACTGTAGAGTTCACTCGGTCAACTCTTGTTTGAAAAGTTTATAAACAGCAGCATTTAGTTAGAATATGGCGTATAGGCTCTAGCCTCATCACTCCCTGCACACATATTTACAAAGAATATTAAAGAGTGATGATTGAAGATGTGGCCTGCTGGGCCAGATGTTGGTCCTGCCAGATTTAAGGAGAATCAAATCAAGTTTTATTTATATAGCACATTTATAAACGATTTTTGGTCGAGCCAAAGTGCTGTACATATAATAAAAATAGCCTACATTAGAGACACTTTACAGCAAATACAACAGCACAGATTGTTCAGAATATCAGTATGAGAAAAACGACACTCACATCGTACAAGGAAAAACTTCCAGAGAAAACCCACAGTTTAAGGGGAAAAAATGGGAGAAACCTCAGGGAGAGCAACAGAGGTGGGATCCCTCTCCCAGGACGGACAGACGTGCAATAGATGCCGTGTGTAAATCGAAGAGATAATACATTTTACAGCATATAGACCAAATGTTAGGAAATGAATGTGTTTGAAGATCCGGCTTTGCTCATTTTATGACACCTTTGATGTATTTCATCATTTTCATAAAAAACGTGGGTGTGACTCCCCCCACAGTATCCTACTGTACAAAAAACAAACTGGCACTAATGAGCGTCATTGTTCCAAGCTCTGTATTTCTGGTTTCCCTGTGAGCAAGCTGCCTAGCAGTATCCGGCGGCAGCAGGCCAGTTGTGTGCATGAACTCACCTCTTTCTCTCCACAGATATTGCTGATGATGGAGTTGGAGGCCGGGCTGGCAGAGGGACCGAGGACTGCTACCACCCCTTTCGACATAATCTGGCACACTAAAGGGAACACAGAGAAGATGAAAGGGAAAATGAGGATTGATTTGTGAAAGGACGGTGTCGGTGAGAGAGGTAGTAGCTAGTTGGTCAGGCAACCAGGAAAGTAAAGTACAGCCTTTCTTGAAGAGTCTACGTCATTATAAAAAGGCCCTCTTCAGTCAGATGTTAATGGATGCACATGCTGACTATCTCAACCTCTAAACGGATAGCAGCCTGAGCCAGCGCTTCTACTGTCTCAAGGGAGCCTGAACCTACATGTATTAATGAAACCTGCACAAGGCCAAATGCATTTCTCCATGTTTAATAAGCCTAACGTGATGGGCATACAGAAAAATCATATATACCCTGCCCATTAGAGTTGAATAGCTTGTGGGAGGAACTGATATTCACATATGTAATAGGCTTTCACAAATGGAGATGGAAAGATAGAGAAATGGGAAGAGACTCAGACAGATAAATACATTGACAGACAGTGGCAGAGCGACAGAAACAGTGACAAGCAGCAATATATTGAGGCATAAAACATAACATCTGGTATTTAAAAGTGTACACATGAATGCCATAATATCCCCAACATGACATACAGACAGACTTATCTTGTTTTCCACATTCACGAAGGACTGCTTTAAAGGCTTTACCTTTGGGGACGAAAACCTTTCAGGAACATTTCAATGTGAATTTGACTCAGGATATATGATTTAATTTCGCCACCCTAAAAAACAGAACCCCATTTCTTGTGAGTTTATAATCCCTGGACTTTAATTAAACAGCTACAGTCAATGATGTGAGGCAGACACAAGTACAGACCCTACGTAGCCAACTGTTAATGTGCGGGCGTGTGCGCACAAAGGAAGTGTGTGAGATGATGATTTGGTGTGGGTTATTTGGGCAAATGCAGAGCATTAAGCAGTGGAAGAGGCAGGGGGGACAGTTTTTGAGTCTGTGTGGTGAATCCAGAGGCAGTGAGTCGAATGATTAATAAGTAATCCCTTACTTACCCATGGGGCCTGTGAGACATGAACACACTGACACCGTACATAAACACACATATACACTTGTATGTACACATTTACAGTACATGCACATACACACATTTTCACCTGTCTGCATGGCTTCACCAAATTATAAACTTGAATGATTTGACTGCCAGCCAACAAAATGCTGGCTTGTCTGACACGCCGTCTCACTGCACAGCCGGCATCGTGTGTATGTGTGAGAGAGATAATGTGCACAAAAAAGTGTGTGTCAAGACTCCACCTTCTAGCAAAAGTTTGTTGCACTCCCTGGACATTTATGTCAGTGTCTATTAGCGCTGTGAAAAGTACTAGGGTGTTCACCGCGGTCAAATTATGGTCAGGAGGTCTAGGGGTTGGCCTGAAGTCCATTTTCTCCGCTTGGTATTGATTTCCCCTGATCAATACAAGCTATTGGAACCTTGGAATGATTAGAGGGCTGTAATGAGTTTGACTTGTAAAAGGCTCGTCAATGTAGCTGATTACAAGAGGACGGAGGATGGACAATCAAAAAGAACAAACACACAAGAGCAGATCCACAAATACAAAAAGACTGACGCACAACAAGCCTGTTTACACTCTTAACACGCTAACACTGCAGCTACATGTTTCCAGCTGCAGCTCATGGTGCTTGTAAGTTTCCTTTCAGATCTTAAAGGTTTAAGATTTATTGGGATAAAAAGGTTCTCAGTAGGCCATCAATGTCCTCAGGAGCACACAAGGCAGCACTAAAGCAAACATTTGTGTTTGTCACGTGGCTATTAGGGGTGTAACGGTTCACATAAGTCACGGTTCGGTTCGTACCTCGGTTCGGGGGTCACGGTTCGGTACAACAAGAAAAAGCAAAAAAAAGTCCCAAATGCATAATTCCAGATTTGTTGTTATTTATGTTTGAACAGTAGTGCAAGTTTCAGTTTAAAAATAAAGAATTCTAACATTTTGAATAATTAACTGTATTAAACAGTTAAAAACAAACCACACACACTCAGATGGCCATATTATCTATAATGGCTGATGTCAAACAAAAAGTTTTCATCAAGCTGTAAAACTAAAAATAATGTCTTGAAAATATTACATCCTAAATAATAAGAACGTGTTTCAAGAGCGCAAAGTCGTTGAAAAACATATGCCAAAAGCTTCCGTTATTTATTTTGGTCTCTCGGCTTTCATGTCTATTGGCTTCTTAAAGACAGCGGGGATCAGCTGTTGAACTGCTGTTGTCTTTTGTCGGGCTCCGGTGATTGGCAAATCTGGCTGATGCCTTCTGATATGATTTAGCATGTTTGCCGTGTGTTACCATTAGCATAGCGCACCACTGTAGAACAACGGCGACACACCGTCCTCGTCCGATCCACCACTCGTACACTCCATCGTTATTGTAGTCCACAGGGAACCCGAAATGTTCCCACACAGCTGATTTAAAAGAAGCAGGTGGGTTCTAGCTCCTGTGTGTTATCTGAAATCGCCATACTAACTTTTCTTCTTCTTGTATTTTGTTCGTTTTGTTGTTGTGTTTCTTCTTGTTCTTCATTTGTTGTTTAAGGGCGGCTGGCAAACAGCTTTTAGGCGCAACACCGCCCCCTGGATTATATATAGTGTAGTGGATACTGCCCTGAATGACAGACTTTTTTCCCACTCGTAAAAAAAGGCGTATTCGTCGTGTGACTGCGTGTGCCGAACCGTGACGTCCGAACCGTGACGGTACGGGACGAATACGGATACCGTTACACCCCTAGTGGCTATGTGCAATATATACACACACACACACACACACAGAATGAAGCATGCGTACACACTTGAAAAATACACATGAGGAAAAGATAAATGAACATGTCTTTTTATGAATACAGCTGAAGCCCTTGGTTTTTTAAAGTGGAAATGTGTTGTATTGAAAATCAATCCCCCCTCTTGTCATAGCATTTTTTTATTGGATGCTTTCTGCAGACCCGTGCTCCTCTGTATTGATCTTGGGTTGTTTTCATTTCAAATGTAAAAAAATTATTTATAAACACTGATGTGTGAGGCAGCAAGTCACAGCCCTGAAACTGATTTGTTTGGGTAGCTGTGAAGTGGAAGCTTTGATCCAATTGATAACAAATACTTTAGCTTGTTTTAATGAAGCGAGACGCGAGGCGTTGCATAGCGCCGGACAGGAAGTGGACCGGTCAGAGCATCCAGTCAATCCCCAAAATAAACACATTTTGCAGACCCAGACCCTAGAAATGCCAGCGTTCTCCTCCGGTTTACAGGCACTGTGTAAATTATATATAGGCTATAGAATAATTATGATGATGAATGCATTTTTCTTTTACCACTAAAATACAGCAACACATCTTTAATTCATGTTGTTTATAACTGGACTATTACAATTATTATTAACTTTGTCTGTACAAAGTAGCCTGTCCAGGAAACATGCCCAAATCAACAAAAACTGCGAGCCGGCACGCAAGACGCTCCGCTTCTGAAACGCGCCCGGTGGGGTTTGACGCTGTAGGAGGTCGGAACAAAACCGCGGCGCAGACGGACCCGGTGGAATCCTGGGGTCAGTGAAGCATTTGTCCCATTTGTTTCTGGAAATCTCTTTATTGCCCATTTTCTTTCAAAGTCGCTAAGCCCTTCTGTCCATCTCTTTTGATAGATTACGTTTGTAGATCAATCCATTTTTTACCTTACACTCCTTTCTACAGAAAATGTTGTTTTGATTGGACCTGTCACTGGAGAGAGAACGTTGCAATTATATAAGAGCAAAAAACAAAACAAAAAAACATAAACACACCGTTTGACTTCTGCTGCTTTTAAAATATGACAGCTCATTTTGCTTTTCTGCTCTACCACCGACTGGCATCCTTTTTCAATAAATTGCTTGCCTGGGTTTGACCGAAGTATTGTTGAACCAGACAGACTTATCTCTGTGTACTTGGGGGAGGCGTGTGATGGACAGAGTGAAAAGAAGAAAGTAGTGTGAATTGAAATGACAGGCTTGCTGTCTCCACACACACACACACACACACACACACACACACACACACACACACACACACACACACACACACACACAGTACAGTTTATTGACCAACAGACTCAAACACACATCAACACTTTCTTTTCACACCACAAAGCCGCTTTGTTCTACTTACTTGTTTCCCCCATCTCATATTCACTGTCTCTCAGCAGTTCAAAGATGTCCACCTCCAGCTTGCCGGTGGTGGAGCGGTTAGTGCTCCTGTTGATGGTTTCTTTGGCCAGTGTTATGGCCAAACGCTCTCCTCTACTGCACTCCATAGGGTCATCAAGAATGGCAGCTAAAACCAACCAAAAAGAAGGAGACAACCAAGGGGGGTTAGTGAAAAATAAATCATCCACTTTGGTAACTGGGTGAAAAACAGGGTGGTCCATGTGACAAATGAGTATCCTGTCTAAGAAACTGTGAGAACAGGTATTTTATTAAACTCCTTTGTTTTCTTTCACATCTACAATAAAAGTGCAATTCACTTAAAGCTGGTCCTAAGGTGTATGGATTTATTAGCACTAATACTTTTGGCCTTTTGAGCACATTGCCTTCCATTTTGTGTGGAGTGCCTACCATGTCAGGCTTTGCTCTTAATAAATCCTTACACTTTGGGAGCCACTCTTATGGAGTAGAATCTACTGTTGTTCTGAAAGGATGAGTGCTATTTAATGTAAATGTCTGATCTGTATGACACAAGCTTGCAAGCCTAAAAGCATTAAAATGTTAAAAACACTGCTAAAATATGCATTCATAAAACACTGTTTACTGCAGCAAATGCATTAAACACTGTTTTAGTGTTAAGCTTTCAAAAAGGCACAGTGGAGAGTTATAACTTCTGTCTGCAGCAGCTTTATAGACATACATTGTTCAAATATATTACAAAATGAAAACTGAAGCACTAAACAATAATGAGATGACATGTAGTACTCGGATATTTATCATACACATTATATATACAATAGCTAGTTGTATTGTAATATACTTGTTACTACTGATGCATGTCTTGTGTTTGGCTAAACTGATCCACTTATAAAGTGAATCTGTGTACATACTACTGTGGTATATTCCTCATACTTTAATGCAAATAAAACAAGTGTTGTTCCACCACCATAGGACTTTTCAAATTGTGTATGACAACTAGACTGCGGTATAAACTGTATATGCATAATTTGAATAGACTGCAGTAATAATAAAAAACATTCAGTCAGAGATATTCTTTTGTTAATCCATAATGTATTCTGTGACCTTTAAACAGCACTATGTTAAATTGTCATGAGCAATTAAGCAACACAATCTGCTCACTGTGTTATCAAACTTTATGCTGTTGTGTATATTTAATTAATGGCATGTTTTATACTTTTAATTATAGGTCATGTTCAATTTTTTAAGATGTGATGTTTGGCCCAAACTATTCAATGCATCAATATTCATGTTGGCTACAAGTAGTCCTTTTCCAAATCCACAGAAAGCATGGCCCAAACTGAACGTAATACTTTAAACACATGTTCTATTAAGACCACATAGTCCAACGATGATGCAATTATAATGCTGCACATTATGCTTTCAGATGCACTATATCAACAGTCATACAACATTATGGATGTATGCATTACAATACAGAGTTACATGTTAAAAACGAACCTATAGAAAAGTGGGAAGTTGTTATGAGTATGCACAGGAAAACACAATAATGTAGAACTTGGCCCAAGGTGAACAGATTATGTATTACAGAGAAATACTGCAAGTTCAGTGATGTTACTTCAAGCCTCATCATCAGACTTTGACGTGCAGAGCTGCATACAGAGCTGGAACGTGTTCAAATTGACCTTTTCCCTGACGATTACACAGCTGAGTAAACAACAACTGGCTCTAGCCTGCAAAGATGAGACATATCCACTAATCATATATCATCACAGGGAGTCACAGCAGGCCAATATCTACAATCAAGTATAAGGCCAACAAGCAGAGAGTAGCAGTGGCAGTTAATTTGTGGTTGTACTGTACTTGTACTGTGGACAAAGAACATTTAAAAAAATGTATGTTTATGTTTATCTGCAGGCACATGAAGCTTTCAAATGTTACAATTTTTAAATCCCAGCTTAATACATATTCATTGTTTAGCTCTTTGGACTAATCTCTGTCCAAGGATCAACACTTTAAATTCCATTAGATAATTAATGTCTACACAGGAGCAAGTTAAACAATGTAGAGCAGGGGTCGGCAACAGGCGGAGCTATTATCAATACATTAATAGGGGATTTTTCGGCACCTCCCGCTTTTTTAACGCTGATTTGGGTGACTTGTGTAATTCTTGGAGAACCGAAGAGTTTTCGTTTTGGGGTGGGGAGTCCGTCCGTCAGTCTGACTGACGGACAACTTCTCACTTCAAAAAAGAAGAAGAAGAAATCTAGACCGCAAAATTGAACAAGCGAGTAGGCCTACCTGTTTTTCCTGGCCATGGACAGGTTCCTTGAACACAACACGAGCGTAACGTGTCTTCACGTGGTAAATGTCTCATCTGAAAGGAGTGCTGACAGAGAGCACCGGAACGCCGCTCCAGCCCTTCAAATATTGCAGTACCCATAAGGAGCCGTACACATGCCGCAGTGTTTGCGTGGCTGTGTCTTTAGTTGTAAGCACAGTGGCGATCTGTTGTTATTAGCATCTGGTTAGCTAGCTATGCTAACAAATTTAAAGAGCTTTTCTACAACCAGGTGGAAGAGAGCTCTCTCCTGAGAGGCTCAAATAACCTCAGCTCAGTGAGGTTAAGGCACACCTTGATATGATCATTATAGTTATTAATGAGACTAAATGAAAAACAGGTATAAAATACTATATGACAGTAACAAAAAAGTTGTTAAAAACAACAAGAATAGAGTTTAAAAGGGGAGTGATTTGTAAAATATCCAAAAAGAAAAATCTGCTTACAGTTCTGTTTCATATGGTTGTTGACAGATGTATCCATAGATCTCTTCATGTTTCTCTCAAAGTGCACCAGATTGATGCTTTTAACTTCAATATTTCAAAAAAAATCTTCCCGGGGGAACATGCCCCCGGACCCCCCTAGAGGAGGTTAGGCCCCACTTAAATCATGTTCACATGGATAGGATACTAAATACATTTGCACACATCTTGTGTCCATATCTTTCTGTTTTGGTGGTCATGCCACACCGTGCACGTGCATGCATACGGGAGTCATGGTGAGATATCTGGATTAAGAGGTTGCTTTTTCTTTGCATGAAAGAAAGGCGAAATGAATGGGCTGTGATTTTAGTTTTTTTAAGCAGAAGTTGAGTTCAATAATTTGTACGACCCTCGGAGGATGTTGTAAAAATTGAAAGGAAAAAGGTTCCCCACCCCTGCTGTAAATCATAATAAAAACCCTAGATTTATAACTTAACATCTCTGTCTCCTATTGATCTGAGTATATTATAAAGAATAGCCAGTTAATTGAAGCATTATAGCACAGGCCTTTGTCAGATGGTATATTACGCTGTTTTTTTCCTGCTTCAAATAGTTCTCTCTTTTTTCACCATACCTGTGTTTGCATCACTGTAACCAATGAGCACCTGCATGTGTGTATGAGAATAGCCCTGACTCCATGTCAGCCCAGATTTACAAACTCCTGGCAGGACAAGCTCCAGCTCAATTCTCGCACTGAATAAAACAAAGTGAGTGAGGGACTGCAATATAAGAGGGAAATAAAGAGAAACTTTAAAACTGTTAAATTGTTATGATGTGTAAAGACTGATAGTGTTCTATAATCGGCTGAAACTGTTAAGTCATGATGTGAAACGGTTAACAAAGAAAAAGGGAAACTCAAGCTGACGCTACACTTTATTTTATTTATCTAAAATTAAGCACTTTAAGATGCACATATTTTCAAAAGCTATTTTATTTATTTTATTTTTAAATGCAGCCCGAGAGGAACATTACACATATCCACAGTATTTACTGTATATCTGTATAGTTCAATGTTCATTGACTATAAATAGTTGTTTTTGAATTGTACTTTCTTTATTTGATTGGCAGTCAGTTGTTGATTACATGCAGACGTTGATAAAGCTACAGGTCACTTCAATAAATATCACACTAATTCATGAAGCAAGTTAGACATTTTGATGTTCCGGACCTTTGCATGGGGAGATTTTCTCTAACTGGACCTCGTTGAATTTTAGTTGAATACCCCTGATGTAGAGTTTCACCACTATTTCTTGTCAAGATGACTAATAATATTAGACCTAACGGTATGTTAATTGGAAAAGATTCATGTCTTACCTCCAAACAAAGCATTGTTACATCTTTGGCCTAAAGCTGCTATAATTAAAATCTTTATTTTAATAATTGAACAAATTACTACATGTACTGTATAGTAAAAGGTGTTACTCGTATACTGACATACAGAAAGGATCAATGCTGCAGTCCCCCTCAGTTTTAATGGGTGCTTTAAGGTCTTTCAGCTCATTGTGTTGGTCCACTGCATACAATCTAAAAAGCTACATAAAATGTAAAACTCCTATAAATCTCATATAAGATAAAACTCGACTAAAAACATGATAAAGATATACAGTGGTCTCTAGGATTTGTTGACAGGTGATTAGTTGTAACACATTACTAATATTCTTCAGCAAATATCAGGTATGGTACAGCTCTTGCTTTATAGGAAATTAATAAGCAGAAAGAATATTCTAATATAAGTTGATGTCTACTGTCATAAATACCACAGGGTTTCACATGAAGCCATCCATGTCTTTAATGACACTTTAATGTTATTCTATACTATTACTGGCCGCTTCGCTCTTTCTTTCATTCTCCATAATTTTTCCATATTCTATCAGGCACTGTCATTTATTCTATTTAACTTAGGCTGCATAAGAAATCAAAATACTAATTACATTTGGTGATTCTAAGAACTGAAATGTCTTTCACCCATTACAAATCTATCCACACCAGTAAGTGTACACACTAACTGAATGATAGATACAATTCTGACATGTCTTGGTCCCACGGGAGTTGACATTTGGTGAATGGTCAATACATAAAAGCTGGCAAATAAGCAATGCTGTTTTCACACAGGGAAAACATGAGCCTGGCCTTGAACTATCGAAACCAATCAATGAACGGCGAGAGGTGAAGCGGGATGAGGAGTCTGCAAGATAGGCTCCGTGAAAGTAGGCATGAAAAGAGAATCCCTTAGAGGTAATGGCGCATACAGGAACATGATCTCATGAGGCTATTACGAATCTCTTGCAGATGTGATCCTCGTTTACAGACGACGAATGGTACAAAACC